AAGGCTGGGAGACTGGAGGTAGTTGCCTGGCAGCTTTGACAGCATTTTTGTGTGTGATAGCACCCATTTTCACCCATTCAAGCCCATGCCCAGCCCATGCCCAAATCAAGCGACAAATGCTTTGCGATAAACTCCCTATTCTTTTCACCAAGGTAAGAACTATTTATCTATCCAGAGCTTGAACTCTCCTTGTGTTAATGTGCTGTTAATCTAAGTTATTAATTGTTTATCTTGTCTTTATTAAAAGAACAATTTGATATAAAAAAGAAAAAAGAAAAAAATATTACATTTTAATGGTTTATTCTTGTTTTTAATTACGGCATTCTGTATGTTATTAATGTGCCATTTTGTATAGCTTTATGTGAAAGTCAGCCAGAGCATTTGATGGCATTAATTTAAATGTAATCTATGAAATAAAATAATCAAATCAAATACACTTGAATAGTAATAAAAATTTCAACTACACATCAAGTACTTAAATTTTTATATGGTAAAGCTCCAGTGGTTTCCTTGGAATGGAACTGGGCTAAAATAGCTGGTTTTAATTATGAACACAAGCAATTGGCATGAATTTGATTTCAGTATTTTGAATTATATACTTAGTTGTGGCATTTAGGGCTTTTAGGAACTGCATGCTTACAAACCCTCAAGCCAAGAAGGGCTCTACTTAAATATTAAACATAATAATGTCACATAAATTTAAAGTTTGGCCTACTTTGGAAATTAAAGTTCAAAACAGTGATATTGACTTTCAAACATTTTATTTTGATAGTGAGGAAAACTATTTAAAAACTATAAGAAAACTAAAACAATTAGACAATTTAAAAACAAAACAACTAAGAACTTGTTTTTTCCTGTTTGAAGGTTCAAAGCTGAACTTTAACTTGTAGCTCTCACTTTTCTTCTCACTCTACCATGTACCAATGTCTTTTTTATTTCTTAGTTGGAAGGAAATTGAGACAAGACTATGAGGGGGAAGAGTATTTCACCATCACCCTCATCTAAATTTGTCATTGGAATTTAATGGGGTTTTGTTGTTAACTGCCCTTGACCTTGCCTCATGCCAACCCCGATGAGACATCTCCAGGACTACCTCTCCTCCACTGCTCTGCTTAGGTCTTACAAATTAAGGCCTCCCTGATTGAGTCTAGCCATCAGGAGTGCAGTCTTCCTCTCTTTCTGCTATCTTCTACTTTTTCTAACATTATTGTCTTTTCTAATATCATGTCTTCTCATGATATAGCCAAAGCTGACAGCCTCAGTTTCATCATCCTGGCTTTCAGGAAGAGTTCAGGTTTGATCTGTTCTAGGATCCATTTGTTTGTCTTTTTTGCTGTCCAGAGTATCCTCAGTAGTCTTCTCTAGGACCAGATCTTAAATGAGTTGATTTTCTTCCTATCTGATTTCTTCACTGTCCAGCTCTCACATCCATACATGGTAGTGGAGAATGCAATGGTTTGAACATTTCTATCTTTAGTGCTCAGTTGTATATCTTTACACTTTAGGATCTTATCTAGTTCTATCATAGCTGCCCTTTCTATTTCTAGTCTTCTTCTGATTTCTTGACTACTGTCTCCATTTTGTTCAGGATTTTATCTGAGGTACAGGAAATCTTTATTGGCCACAACTTTATTTATCTGTACAAGGTCTTAAAATAGCTTTCAATAACACTTTCTCAATTGACCATAATTTTGTTCTTGACACCTGTGTCCTTGTACTTAACTGCAGTATCAATCAAGATTAAGCCATGCCCATCACAATATGTGTCAAGAAAGTCCTGTTCAAATCAGTTACAAAATTTCAACAAATCATCCCCCCCATACTGGAAATGACATCATAATTAAACATATGACGTAAGCAAGTTATGACACAATCAACATCGTTGATGACATCATAGAGAGTTTAGTTAACCTGATGACGTATATCCATCATCCACATTAATTAATCCAATTTGGTAAGTTCTAATAGCCAAATTATCCCCGGGGTGGGTGTCCCTGCCCACCAGAACTAAATAAAATATCAACATTATAATTGATCAACCAAGACTCTGACCTCAAGTTGTGACAAGATAAGCAATAACTTTTAAACCATTCATGTGTAACTCACAACCAACAATGACAGCACCATATTATTCTCAGGGAGGGCGAAAAACCCAGGCTACAATCACTCTGGGAAAATTCCCTCCCGGCCCCCGAAGGCAACCAGCTGAAGCCTGAGAGTAAATAAGTAAGCAGCTGTTAATTAAGGGTAGGTGGGTTGACTGCCCCAGCAAAAATGGCTGCCGCCACAGGGTAGCCAAGGGCTATATAGTCCACAAATCTCACAGGCAATCTTGTGAGATCCAAAGATCTCATGAGATTACCCGGCATGCTGGGGGATCTCGCAAGATCCCCCTGATTAGCTGGGCAAAACAGGAAGGGCGGGACTTCCTGCCCGCCCAGCCAATCACGGCGTCGGCCTCTTAAAATGGCCGGTGCAACAGAGAGACCCTCCCAACGTGTCGGGGGGGGGGTCTTGGTGAGAGGTTCTTGCCAGGAGGTTCATCTCTGACTCCCTTCACACAGTGCTAAATGTATTAGCTATGGTGTCACTGGTGTTCTCTCTTACATCAGTGTCCCCCACCACTACTGCTGCTGCCTAGTATCTGTTTAACACTTTAGGTTGAGTTTTCCCCTCCCTGCCCACTCAACTCCCACTCTCTTTCTTAACATATTATGACTCAAAAACTCTCTCTCACACACACACACACACACACACACAAACCATGGATTGATTCACTTGCAACATATGCCCACTTTTTTATTTCAGTTAATATTAACATCAAATATCAATCCATTAGTTAAAATTCTTCAGTGCTATTTATTTGAGGCTTCATCTCCACTGCAAAAATAATACAGACTGATACCACTTTAACTACCATGATTCTGTGGAATCCTGGGATTTGTAGTTTGTTGTGTTACTAGAGTTCTCTGACAGAGAAGGCTATATATCTCATAGAACTACAAATTCCAGATTCTATAGGATTGTGCCATGGCAGTAAGAGTAGTGTCAAACTGCATTAATTTTCAGTGCACATGCAGCCTGAGGTGTTCGTGCTATTTATCTTGCCCTCCAACTAGAATAGCTGTTTTTGTGTGGCTTCCATATGTCAGTTGGATGATGAATTGTTGGTATGATAGGAATTACAGTGTAACATATCTGGAAGGAAACAGGTTGTGAAAGATTGTAATGTAACATGTCTGGATAGAAGCATGTTGGGGAAGGCAGGTTAGCAAGGGATACTTGGAATTTTCACTCAGAGAGCGCTCATGTTCCACCAGACTGCATACTCCACAAACCCATATGATGTTGCCAAAGCAATTAAATAACAATCATAGAATTATAATTGTGTAGCATTAAAGGACATCAACTCACCATTAATTAATGCTAACTGTTTAACCATGATTTCAGAATAATTTAGACATGCATTTACAACAGATATTGGGTAGCTATGTACTCTAAGATTACTTCTTGCCTGTGAGTCCAGTCATTCATAGGCTATTCATACATAGTCTGGCTACAAGGATTATGGCAGTGGCTACCTTAATACATCTAGAAGCTCCAGGTGAACACTCCTGATTGGATTTTAAAGAACACGCAAAATCACCATAACTATAAGGGTTTCCAGATATAGCTTTTGGCTGTTAAATGTCTGATCACACTGGTGTAATTTCAGCAGAGAATATGGAAGTTACTATTTTGGCCTACTACTTTCAGGATCCCCCAATCTAAATGGCCATTGGCCCTGCTAACTAGGGAATTCTGTGAGTTACAGTAACTTTTACAATACCATTTGCTTATAACCCTCCATGTTTTCCCATTGCTCGTCTGCCTTTCAGCAATAATGACAAAAGTCATCAAGAAGAAAAATGCAGAATAGTTTCATAATGCCTTTTAGTTGGTTGTGCTAGGACCTTTGCATCTTTAAGCTACTAGACGCATCAACTTTTGTGGTTACTTAATAACAGAGAAAAAACATTGAACAATTATAACTGCACATTCTATAAAATATGTATATCTTTATTTGTATTGGATTCTTTTAAAAGTATGATTTCAAAGAAAAAGAGTAAAGAAAGTAAACAGAGGGAGAAAGAGGGGAATACAAAGGATGTGAGTGTGGAATAGGCATATCTATTAATATAAGATGACCATGTTTCAAAAAATGCATTTTCTTGAAATTGATGTATGTAAAATGCACATTCATGAGTAGCTGAAGCAGTGAGATTCTCTGACCATTGAGCAATAGAAGCTGTAGCTTTCCAGCGTTGAAGTAGAAATCTTTTGGCAATAGTAAATACATGCAAGATCCAGCCATGCTGACAATTAAATTCTATGTCTCAGGGATATAATTTAAAAAAAAATGTATTATCTAAATATTAAAAAAAATCAATAAAATTGATACATTGTAACACATCCAATAAAAATTGTTAGCAATTGGACACACCCACATCATATAACCAAGAGAAGCATTATCAATATTACATCAATATTACAACTTAGCTGAAGTAGTCAATTTCTTTCCTTAAAGGCATAATGGTGTCCAATATACCCTAACCACTCATTTGGGCTGAATCAAATGAAGTTTAAGATCTAAAGAAAGATTAGATATTGAAGCAAGGGTAGTTTTCTATTCATTGGCTTTGTATAAGATGATCTAACTCTGCATTGCATTGCATTCCATTCTAATTTCATTAACATAAAATATGCAAATGCAAAGTCCAAATTTTCTTCACACCTTTTCATGTTTACCTGGAAGCAAATCCTGCAATGCTGAATGAGATTTACTTCCACAGTAATGTATGTAGCCCACAGCACAGAGACCATTTCAAGTTATTTCTGAATTATGATGACCCTAAATCAAACAGTTTTCTTGACAAGATTTATTCAGAAGGGGGTTGCCTTTGCTGTCCTCTGAGGCAGAGAGAGTGTGATTTGCCTAAGGTCACTTCAGTGGATTTCTATGGCTGAGCAGGGATTCAAACCCTGGTCTCCAGAGTCAAAGTTCTACATTCAAACCACTACACCATGCTGGCCCACCATTTCATCAACTCCATTTTGCCATCTAACAGGAAGCAACATTTAATTCCCACTGCAGAAAAATGAAAGTAAATGATATACATTTCCATCACATTCATACTTGTCTTGTGTATCTATTCTTAAAAACCTTAGATATTCACTAAAAATGTATGAGTTAGTTCTATCTTACATTATCTTCTGTTCAGTATTTAATAATGCTTGTTGTATTTATAGGCAAGGCATCCGATAGCGATTTAAATAATTGGCCCATGTTATCTCTTATAGTGACTAATGAAAAGCTTTTCTCATTCATCATCTCTCTTCCAACTTGCAAGTTTTCATATGGCATGAGAATCTTCAGAAATACAGCTGTACATTTTTATTTAAAAGGAGGGTTGGGTTTTCCCCCTCTAGTGATGTTGTCTAATTTATTTTGAGATGTTCTGACCTTACAGACTTTAACAGCATAAAGTTACAGACAGCATATCTTTTGGATGAGAACTAAATTGAAAAGCTCATAGCGGCATGCTAATGAAATGGCTTATTAGCCCTCTACTCTTCCTACACTCCTATCCTTGTTGAACAGAAAACACCCACACAAAACCAAATAAATCTCCATAAAAATAGTAATGTAAGGAATATCTTTATGATGCATTGACAAGAAAAATTTTAGCAGCATAGAACTGATTCTTTGTTACACTGTTCACTTCAAAAAGAACCACTCAAGGATATTGAAAAAGTTCTCCCATTACAGTCTAAGTAATTTTTACTTAGACTGACACTCATTCTCAAGATGTGCAATCTCTTACTTGAAGAATTCACCTTACCACTTTTAGTTTAAACTCATTTTTTCTCAGCTTCATGTTTCAGCTCCATAGCTGAGGAGAGATTTTAACATTGACATTTTGACACACAAACTTGTGCAGACTTATTGTTGTGCAGGTGCCTTCATCTACTGGGCCTTCTGGCTAAGGGGAAATGGGACTTATAGTCCAAACAGATCTGAAGATCATTCAGCTGTGGAAGGCTGCTACAGCAACAGCTGCTTTATCCATGGTGGCATCTTGGATCTCTTTCTGTATATGACTTATATAATTAGGTACATCTAAATTTAATGATTTCATTTTGTTGAACTGTGGTACAGTGGACCCTTGGTATCCACTAGGGTTTAATTCTATGACCTCCTGTGAATACCATAATCCATGGATGCTCAAGTCCCATTGTATATAATAGCATAGTAAAATGGTGTCCTCTGTATAAAATAGTAAAATCATGAGAGACACTGCAGACTGGGCCAGCCAGAAAAATCAGCAGTAGCAGAACACATTATAAACCATCCTGGGCATAAAATGCTGTTTGAAAACACTGAAATTCTGGACCATGCCAACAACTATCAGGTCAGAATGCACAGGGAAGCCATCGAAATCCACAAACACTTGGATAACTTCAACAGGAAAGAAGAAACGCTTAAAGTAAACAAGATATGGCTACCAGTCCTACAAAATAAGAAAATCAGCACTCAGCAAATGCAAATGGGAAACCAACCAGGGTCAGGGGCTTTCCCAGCAGACAATAGCAGACAATCTCCTTGATTGCATATCCTCACCTGGAAGCCATGCCATTAACAACAGAACATACCTATTCAACACAGAACAATGCACAGTTTGCAATGGATTAGCAGACAATAACCTTGAGTGCATTTCCTCCCACCCTGGAGCCATGCCATTAACAACAGAACAATAACTATTCAACACAGAACAACACACAGTTCACCTGGGAACCACTCCTCCCTACCCAAGGTCTCACAGTATATATACACCCATTCTCTTCCATTCAAGTTTTCTCTGAAGATGCCAGCCACAGATGGCTGGTGAAACGTCAGAAAGAAACTCTTCTAGAACATGACCACACAGCCCGAAAAACCAACAAAAACCTATGGATGCCGGCCATGAAAGCCTATGACTTCACACAGTAAAATCAAGCTTTGCATTTTGGAATTTATATATTTTTGGAATATTTTCAAGCTGTGGATAGTTGAATCTGTGGATAAAGAATCCATGGACATTAAGGACTGACTGTATATAAGATATATGTCTGATAATATTTGTAATGCAGGTGTCCCTGATATATTCGCATATCTTGTATTTTGTCTGGCTGAAATTCATATTACTACTTTCCATGTTGTCATTTTTCAGAGTAGATATATATACATTCTTCTCCATCTTACACTTTAGTCACTTCTGGCACAACCTGTAACAAAAATAAAGGATACAATGAGTTGATTTTCTCAACATCATGTGCTTGGGGACCAATGATAAAATTTCATCAATATACCGTAATAACTTCCAGGTGATAATTATTACTTTACAATATTCCCTCATATTATCTCATTTCACCCTTTTCAAAACTAGGGTTACAAAATATTGTTCCCAACATCCTCAGCCAGTGACCAGAAGGTTGAGGTTTTAGTCCAACACCATCAGGGGAGGTTCCTCTTATACATACAAACTTTTTGTAATAAAAAAAGTCCTGAACTAAAGAGATATTGTATTTTTGAGCTAAGTTCAAATATAAAGCTCACATAGTCAATAACATCATTTGTACCCCAGCTTGACACTTTCCTTGAATGATGAGATGATACAATAAGGTAATCACAATAGTGAATCTACAACAGTGCTTTGACACATTCTAGCAATCATAAAATACTTGAATAATCAACCAGGTGCCACTATTACTCATTCTCATAGTGTTTTAGACCATTTACAATACTTACATCCTGACAATAGGCAGAATATTACAAATGACATGTCATGAATCCACTTAAACTGTAACATTCCCTGGCTAAAGCACTTAAAGTTTGATTCTATGATTCTAGTTTAAAACATGGACTGCTATTTTAAAAAATGAACTAATTCTATTCATCATTACTGAATCAACCAAGAGGTCACTCATTTTTAATGCTTTTGTAGTTCAGAAAGTTCAGACAGTGTCCCAGTGAAAATGTTCAATGTAATTTGATATAGTAGTGACCAGACATGAAAAGGTCACAGGCAGCTATAATGATTAAGCACTTTCCACCAGGTGCTGAGTCAGGGGAAGTGACATCGGCTGATGATCACCAGGTGCTGTAAAGCACAGAAAAGGCTGCAAAACCTTGTACACAGAGGAACCAAGATTAAAAGCCTCATCTGAGAGACATCTATCTGAAGTGTCTCTGTACTCTGTCTGGAAGGGGAGAGATGTTTCTCCAGCTCACAAGCTGCTGCCTGCATCCCAGAAGGTGGTGACTCTGGTACCAAACATTGATATGGACCATCAAGTGCTGTGTAACCACGCTAACAAGGGTTATGGGCCCAGCATGCTTCCACTGCACCAGCGCATCCGTCTGGATGACCTTGTGAGTAGCTGTTTGTGTACAGTTGTCCAGAAGAGCAGTTCTACCTATCTGAGTGCCATAAGGCAGAGAGTTAAGAAGCCAAACTGCTTGCTGTGCTCCTTATCTCCAACTGATAGTGAGGAGCTGGGAAGGCTGCTAACGCTGAGCGTTTTGTCTTATTTTGCTGCCAGTATGGAGTTTGTGAAGTTCCCGAGGCTAAATGATCAGAACAGTGGGCAGTTTATGGTGAGGCAATCCTGGTAAGGGAAAGATTCTGGGATGTTATTGAAGAAGGGCCCACGGTGAAAAATGCTGAGCTTGATAGAAAAGCAAGAGCAACCATAAATCTTTCCCTGGATCCAAGCCAATTAGACCACATCAGAGATAAGAGATCTGCTCAGGAGGTCTGGTTTACATTGAAGAATGTGCACCAGCTAGACTCTGCTCTTTCCAAAATGCTTTGGAGCAAAAGGCTGTATGCCTGTAAAATGCAGAAAGGACAGTCCCCAGAGTAGCATCTGGCCAACATGAATCATCTGTTTTTGGAGGTAGAATCTAGACAAATAAATTCCCAAAAGAACAAAAGCATACATCCTGCTGGGCAGCCTATCCAGTGATTTTGATCACATACTATACAGCCTGCAGGGGGTGCAGAGAGTCAGCTCACACGGACTTGGTGTTGACACGTGTCTTGGAGGAATGCCAGAGATGGCATTTTGAGAATGGCATTCAGAGACAGCAACATGCAGAGCCAAGATCAGAGCCAAGATCAAACACACTGTCGGAGGCAGTTCAAAAGGCAGAGAGTGCAGCTATCTGCAGAGTTAAACCGTGTTATAATTGTGAACTGCCAGGTCACTTCAGGAGGCACAGCAAGAAGCCACTTGCTGCTAGAAGGAAGGAACAACAATGGTCTCCTGGGAACAAGAAGGGAGTTGTTTCGGCAGTAAAGGACAGTGACTGTCAAGCCCATCTTGCTGTTGCAGCCAGACATCTATGGATGATCGACAGTGGTGCGACTCACCACTTGGTGAACCAGGGGTCCTTGCTGAAGGACAGGAAGCCCTCATGTGTTGACTCAGTGGGTTTAGCCGATGGGGGTTCTAGCCAAATAAGGAACATGGGGACTGTGCATTTTCCAGGGTTTGACAGAGACTTTGAAAATATGCTGTGTGCTTCCCAGTTACAAAATTGTCTGATCAGTGTGTCCTCACTGATTACAGATGGGTATGCCCTACACTTTGAGAGGGATGATTGTGTTATTACTAAAGGGGGGTAGGTTTGTGCAAAAGCACATAAGCACAACAGGTTAGACTACCTAGACACCCATGCAGAGTGTGCCACAATTGGCAATGTGCCACTGCACTCGAATTGTGTACAATACTTTCATAGGGTGTTGGGACACAAGGGCTTTGCAAGTTTAGAGAAACAGAGAAGTGTGTGCCCTGAGTTGAAACTGGATGAATGTAAGGACCATTTGGAATGCTCTGTGTGCAGCAAGATGAAGCTGAAGGCTTTTCCTGTTGCAAAGAGGAGCAAGTGCATCACCCAGAGGCCATTCCAAGCGGTGCACACAGATTTGGCTGGGCCTTTTGCCAAATTGGTAGGCAATAGTAGATATCTGATGGTGATAGTTGATAG